ATCTTCTCTAATTCTGAGGGCTGTCTGCTTGCTTTACTTACTGTGTTCTTGGCTGTGTATAAGCTTTTTAGTTTGATCAGGTCCCAGTATGTATTTTTGGTGTTGCTTCATTTGCCCAGGGGATCCTTCTCATAAAATATTTGCCCAGGCCGATTTCTTCTAGTGTTTTCCCTGCACTTTCTTCTAGTATTTTTATAGTTTCATGTCTTAAGTTTAAATCTTTAATCCAGTGTGAGTGTATCTTAGCTAATGGTGAACGGTGTGGGTCCAGTTTCAGTCTTCTACAGGTTGCCAGCCAGTTCACCCAGCACCATTTGTTAAATAGGGAATCTTTTCTCCACTCAATGTTTTTAATTGGCTTGTCAAAGATCAAATAACGTTAAGTAGCTCATCATCCTTAATCATCAGAGAAATGTAAATCAAAACCACTTTGAATATCATCTAACCCCAGTAAAATTAGCCCACATCACAAAATCCCAAAACCAGAGGTGTTGGTGTGGATGTGGAGAAAATGGAACACTTCTGCACTGCTGGTGGGAATGCAAATTAATACATTCCTTTTGGAAAGATTTTTGGAGAACACTTAGAGATCTAAAAATAGACCTGCCATTTGATCCTACAATTCCTCTACTAGATATATATCCAGAAGACCAAAAATCACATTATAAAAAAGATATTTATACCAGAATGTTTATTGCAGCCCAATTCATAATTGCTAAGTCACGAAAGAACCCCAAGTGCCCACTGACACATGAATAGATTAATAAATTGTGGTATATGTACACCATGGAATACTATGCAACCTTAAAGAAAGATAGAGACTTTACCTCTTTTATGTTTACATGGATGCAGCTGGAACATATTCTTCTTAGCAGAGTATCTCAAGAATGGAAGATAAAGTATCCAGTGTACTCAGTCCTACTATGAAACTAATTTATAGCTTTCATATGAAAGCTATAACCCAATTATAGCCCAAGAATATGGGGAAGGGGGAGGGGAGGGTGATTGGTGGGACCATGCCTATGGTGCATCTTACAAGGGTACAAGTTAAATCTACTAAGTGTAGCATATAAATGTCTTAACACAATAACTAAGAAAATATGATGAAAATATTTGTTTGATGAAAATATTTCAAATTGTATATAAAACCACATTGTACCCCATGATTGCATTAATGTACACAGCTATGATTTAATTAAAAAAAAAAAGATCCCTCTTTGCAATTGAAACAACAACAGAAATAAATGAAGAAGTCTTTTTTTTTTTTTGAGACAACATTTCATTATGTCGCCCTCGGTAGAGTGCTATGGCATCACAGCCCACAGCATCCTCAAACTGTTGGGCTTAATTGATTCTTTTGCCTCAGCCTCCCAAGTAGCTGGGACTACAGACACCCACCACAGCACCTGGCTATTTTGTTGTTGTGGTTGTTGGCATTGTTGTTTAGCAGGCCTGGGCCGGGTTCAAACCTGCCAGCCCAGGTTGATGTGGCTGTTGCCCTAACCACTGAGCTATGGGCCCGGAGCCTGAAGAAGTCAATTTTACAAAGGGAACTAATGAAGCTGAAAGCACATGAGTACGTTAGAAAGGAAACGAGAGAGGACAGCCAAAACCATGTTTTTAAATTAATAAGAATAAACAGGCAAGATTGATCAAGGAAACAATATTGGGAGCATAAAAAAGAATAATTAGAAAAACAAAAATACTTAGAAATTTTTAAAATAATATAGTATGCTTCTCATATTTATAAAAATAAAGGATCATGTCTAGTTCTACTGAACCTTCAAATAAAAGAGAAACTTTTATCTTTTTCATCCCAAGAGAAAGAGAAAAAAAACTCTCTTAACTTCATCTACTTTGTGTTGCTTTGATAACAAAACCAGGCATTTTTTTCAGTATGAAAAAAATAAAATTAGAGGTCATCAAACTTGTAAGCATATAAGCCAAAAATCCTACATAAAGAATTAGCAAATGAAATCCAAGACCATTAGAATAATAACACACATCAGGGCTAAGAGAATTTCGTTCCATGAATCAAAGTGCAAAAACGCCAATGTACTGTGAGAAAGATCCAAGACAGATGCCGGTGGAGGAGCATTCTGTCCAGTGCCGACCAGTATTCCTTACAACTGTCATGTCGCCACCAACAAGGAAAGTCTGAGAAAGCCACAGCCAAAAGGAGGCCGCTGTTTGTTATGTGATGTCCTGGATGGGATCTTGGAACAGAAAAAAACTAAGAAAATCTCAATAAAGTGTGGACTATATAATGATGTATTAGTATCAGTTTGTTAATTGCATAAAACATTCCATAGGAATGTAAGATGTTAATGATGGGGGAATCTCAGTGTGGGATAGGGAACTCTATATCTTAGCAATTTTTTATAAATCCAAAACAGTTTTGAAAAATAAAGTTTATTTTTAAAAACGTAATTCAGGAGAAAATTGTCAGATAGGAAGTAAATGCATTAAAGCCAGACATAAAAATTCTAAAATAAGAAAATAAAATAAGAGGCTTTTAAAAATAAACTAAAGAAATGAGTGACAGGGGCCTTAAAATAAATTCTGTTAATGCGTATCCAGTGGAAGGCAGTGGGGTGAACCAGGACAAATAACGCTACTTACTCTCCAGACCCCACCTAAGCCACACTGAAAGGATTTATGTTAAATGAGACATAAATCCACAAGGACAAAGGCGGCAGGAGAAAGGCAGCAGCAACCCACTTTTAGAAGCTGCAAAACAGGTGGCACGTGTTAAAGGAATTGACAGACCTGGGCACATGGAGCTCTTTGTCCATAGCAGGGAAAGCGAAGAGGCAGCATCCTGCTTACAAGTGTTGTAGGTTCTCTCCAGGGGCTGGAAGAGTGCCCCAGATGAAGGAGCTACAGGAGGAAGAGGTAGCGGTGGACTAGGAGCAGAAGGACTGAGACTGAGGACTAGGAGCAGAAGGACTGAGACTGAGGACTAGGAGCAGAAGGACTGAGACTGAGGACTAGGAGCAGAAGGACTGAGACTAGGAGCAGTACAGACTAGTGAGAGCAACTCTGTTTCCCCAGGCTGCTGCTGCTTTGCTCTAGGAGGTGAAAAAAGTAATTTAGGGGGTTTCTTGCTTGGAGTCACCCACATATGGCTGAGTGCAGAGATGCTGTCTTAAAAACAAAGGGATTAAATGGGAGTTTGAGTCTGTATGAGATTGAGAAGGGAGTGAATGTGGACAGAGAAGACCCCTAGGGTCCTTCAGTATTTGCAAGTCTGAGATCAAGAGGAACCAGCAAAAGGGGAAAGCCCGGTGAGTGTCATACCTGGGTTTCAAGTGAATGAAACATTTCAAAAAGGAGTCGTGTTTAGTGCAATCCAGGGCTTCTGAGGACTGAACCTGACCTGGAGGCCACTGGCGGCCTTCTCAAGCACACTGCCAGTGGGAAGGAAGGGATAGAATACACCGGATGCCAAAGCTCTGACAGGGAAGGACAGAGTGGAACTTAGTGCAGAAGCTCCAGTTTGGGGATATGGAACCAGAATCAAAAATAGGAGTTTCTGGAGGTTAGAGGTGTATGCTTGGTTGTAGATGCATGTGGAGGCAGAATTGTGAAAAAAGAGCATAAAGGAGAAATCTTAAATGCTACAAGAAAGTCAAAAGGATGAAGAGTGAGAACATACAGGGTGCAGTTAAAATGTCACTGCTTACTGTATACATACTATACATTGTATAAAGTGGATTTTCTTTAGGTAATGTTCGTGTATTTTTGGCTGCCTTTCTGTTTTCTCTAAGTCAGAAGGCATATGATTTTAGAAAGCTCGAGATTTAATCAACCCAGACTTCCCCAGTCTTTAGCCATCCTACAGCATTGGCATCCGAAGAACAAAATTCCATAATTTAACTAATTTGTTTTATGTATATTACTTTGTATTTCATAATTAAATATATATTACAAAGACATGCTTGTGCCTTGAATTTGCGACTACACTGCCGTCTCTGGCTTTTGCCCTGACCCTTCTCCCTGACTGGCTGTCCCCGACAGCTGCACAGCCAGCTTGCTCTCCATCTCAAGTCTGGGTCACATGTCACGACATGCTTAACATCTTCAGTCATTAGAGAAACACAAATGAAAACCTCAGTGAGGTACCACTCCACACTTGCTGGAATGGTTAAGATTTTAAAGCCCGATGGTACCAAGTGCTGGTGTGGGTGTGGAGCAAGTGTGTCTCTTGTACTTTGCTGGTAGGAGTGCAGACTGGAGCAGAAACAAATTTAAATGTCCTTCAACTGCCAAGTGCATAAACTCTAATATATCTGCAAAATGGAATATTGATCAGCAGTAGGAAGGAACAGACTTGTGGTACACACAGCCACGTATTTCGCTAAGTCACAGAGACCAGATGAAAAGGCTGCATACTGTGGGACTCCATGTAAATAACATTCTGGAAAAGGCGAAACTATAGAACTGGAAACAAAGCAGTGGTTGTGACGGGCTGAGCACAGAGGCAGGCGACCCTTTATAAGGGGACATGTTTCGGAGTGATAAGATTCTTCCAAATCTCAGTTATGGGGTGGTTTATGTCACCATTACATAAATGCATACCTTCCTTGAAACCTAAAGGGATGAAACCCACAAGGGAGAAGCATCTCTTGTGTGCAGACTTTACCCTAGTAAACCGTCCTTACCAGTAACAGTCACCTGCATGGTTTCCTGCCTGGCCTACTCAAGGGTCTCATCTTCCCCTCCCCTGATTTATGAAGTCCTTCACAGGATCTCTGGGAGTTGTTATGCCCTCTCTAGCTTGTTGCCATTTTAGTTTGAGGAATCAAAATCATTTGACTTTTCTTCATTGATCCTGCTGTTCTGTCCTTTTAAATTTTCAACATTTTTCACATTCTTACCTCATTTTACTCTGAATGCATCAAAATTTAAGTATAGTTAATTTGCGTTAGAGAAAAAAAAAGCTGTGATGATGAACTCAGGGTTATGTTTACAGGGCTAAAACACGTTTCTCTCCGCAGACAGCAGTGAGTGCCTGGCAGATGACTGCAGCATAATCGCTGGAGGGAGCCTTGCCGGCTGGTACCCAGACTCTGCTGCCGTGCTGTGGCGCAGAGTCCTGGGAATCCTGGGAGATGTGAATAATATCCAGTCCCCCAAGATCCATGCCAAAGTTTTTGGTTATCTGTATGAACTCTGGTACAAACTAGCAAAGGTATGTCCTGCTGTTACTTTTTCTTCTAATCCTAGAAAATTGGTTCCTCATTTAATGTAAGAACTGTTTTTTAATTACCTGCTGAACATATTCTCGAATACAAATTCGACATTTAAACATAGTACACTTAATTATCAAAGAATAAATCACAGTACATATAATTTGAATATTTTATAAATGCACCAAGTTGTATCAATACAGTGCAAAAGTAGAAAGTGCTATAGATACTAAAATATGACAAAATTAAAAAATGATAAAAATAGGACAATAAATAATTTGTTTTTCTCTTTATAAAACTGATTCTGGTTATATTGTACAAAATTTGAAAAATGTAGAAAAAAATGCAAAGAAGAAAATTAACATTACCATCCATAGAAATAACCAATATTAATATATAGTTTTATTTCTCTGGAATAAGATTTTTATGAAATAGAATCTTAGGGTACATACGGTTTTCTTTCTAGTTTTTGCTTTGGTTCTAGTGTACATTTTTACTGTGTTAAATGTTTTTTCGAAGCATTCATGTTTGTACAGTATAACTTACTAAATAATTCCTTATCATTAGAGATTAGGGCCTTTCTGTGCATTATCATTTAAGGACAAATAATGCCCTTGTTTTGTATTTAAATCTAGAACTACAAACAGTAAACCAGACACACACTTGAAAAGGACAATAGATCTTACAATACAGGAAAAACTTATAAGTATTATAGGTTTTCACTCAACTTATATGAATTTAGTTAGAAGCAGCTATTTGGTTGTGGAAGACAATGTTGAAATGCTATTGGGATAAGTGTTGTCATCCCTAAAATTCTCCTCCTTGTGCACTAGATACGGGACAATCTTGCAATAAGTCTGGATAACCAGTCGTCCCCGTCTCCTCCACTCTTGATCCCACCACTCAGAATGTTTGCATCATGGCTATTTAAGGCAAGTGGATATGTGCTTACTTCTTTATTGCAATTTCCTCTTCCTTTCTGAAATTGAGTTAAAAAAATGTAATTGCCCAAGACTGAATGTTTTGAAGACAGCAGACTGGGTCTTACTAAAGCTACTACATTCCACATCTCCATAAACAACTCTTACGGAAAACTGAGACATGAAATGTTGAAATGCTCTGCATCTGGACTTGATTTAATCTGAAACATCATCTCCTTGGCAGGCAACAACATTGCCAAATGAGTATAAGGAAGGCAAGCTGCAAGCCTACAGGCTCATCTGTGCCATGATGACCAGACGCCAGGACGTTCTGCCAAATTCAGATTTCCTGGTGCATTTTTACCTTGTGATGCACTTGGGATTAACCAGCGAGGATCAGGTATTCTGTGACTAATTGATCATAATTTCCCATTAATTGGAAACTTCATATCACTCTTTAAAGGTTTCAGGTTTATAAAAATATATCAGAAATGTTGCATTTCTCAGTAGTCAACTGTTTCATACACAGCAAACACAGTGGTCTTTCAAAAATGTGAATAGGTCTTACGTCCTTGCCTGTTCTCTCCACTGACTTCACATTGTGCTGAATAAATTTGAATTTTATTCTGTAGCCTGTATGATCTGACCTCTCTCAGCCTATGCTTTCAACCTCAAGATACAATTTCAACCATTTTTGTTTGGGTTCTGCATTTGATACTGTTTGAAGAGGGTGATTCTTTTAAAAATGTGTTAGAATTGTTATTTTAGTAGTTAGGATGTTTTTGTGAAAGACTTTACCCAGCAGTTAGTTATAGATCTCTACTTTATAGAGATTATTCTGGATTCCATGTGGAGGATGGATTTGAACATGTGGCAGTGGCGTTATAGAGGAGGAGATGGGGCTTGAAGATAGGGAATAGTTAGAAAGTGGTTAAACTAATACAGATTAAACACAGGGAATAGTTAGAAAGTGGTTAAACTAATACAGATTTAACAATGATGATAACTAAGATGGTAGCATTGGAGATGGGAAGAAAGGAACAGGAAAGATCCAAGAAATTTTAAGGTATTTCATCACTAGATCTTCTTACCAATTACAGACATGAGGAGTGTTTCAAAATTTACCCTTTAAATTGTAAATACTAATCAATGAACTTGGATCATTTGTTAGGTCCCACATAGCAATCCTTTCTGTAATTCTTTTATTCCTTGTAGGTATGACGAGGACCGCAGACCTTTTGACACCCCTAAGGTACACACACCGTAGGAGGTCATTCTCCTGATTAGTTTTTTTTTTTTAATTGCTTCACAGTGTACTTGGACCTTTCAACTGTTGAGCTCTATATAAAAAAGATTTTGTAATATCTTCCCTGATACTTTGAGCTTTGATCTGAAGTAGTAACCCTACTGTCCTAGTAAGCTGTCTTTGTCATATGCACTCTGATTTCAGCAGTGCGTAGAAGACACCTGTGTAAGAGGACCGGACTCAGACACACTTATTCACTGCATGTCCCCGTGCAGCAGTAGGAACACGAGGTAGCTTTGTTTGTATACTCTGCTCAGATATTTTATAGCCATCACTGCAAGTGGCAGCATCCTTTACAGAATGATGCAACTTGGGGCATATGAAGATTAAGAGGGGTGTACATAGGAGAGGCCATTTGCTCTCACAGACCATAATGACCCCCTTAGTTACAGAACCTAGAGAGAAGGGTTTACCTGACAATCTTTTAAAGTAGTGTTTCCAGGAAAAAAAGTTTACTTTGAAGTAATAATTAACTAGAGAATCTTCCTATTTAATAGAAACAAATTGGGCTTGGCGCCTGTGGCTCAAGTGGCTAAGGCGCCAGCCACATACACCTAAGGTGGCGGGTTTGAATCTCCAGCCCGGGCCTGCCAAACAACAATAATGGCTGCAACCAAAAAATGGCCAGGCGTTGTGGCGGGTGCCTGTAGTCCCAGCTACTTAGGAGCCTGAGGCAGGAGACTCGCTTGAGCCCAGGAGTTGGAGGTTGCTGTGAGCGTGATGCCATGGCACTCTACCCAGGGGGGATAGCTTGAGGCTCCGTCTCAAAAAAAAAAAAAAAAAGAAACAAATTGGAAGTTGGCAGTAAATACCTAGCATTCCTCAGAATGAATTTTCTAGAAAGTCATATAAATAGGTGAAGTTTAGAATCATCTTTATTTTTAAGGTGTATTGGTATGGAAATGAAGTAATAAAGTAAAATCTGAATGTATTATAGCATTTGAGAACCCAGAAAGTATGATTTACAAATCATTTTCAAAATAGGATTTTACAATACAGAAAAATATTTTTTAAACCTTATGCTTAAAATCATCTTCCCATTTTAATGTATATCATGTTTTTATTTAGGTGAAGGCTTAGTTGTCTTTTGTAGTTCATTGTAAAATATGTAAATCTTAAAATCTAATCCAGTGCTAGATCTGCACATCCAGACTTCTAAAGCAAAGTGGGGATATCATGAATCCCTATTTTTCTTAGGCCATTAGAACTTGAGTTTTTATTTATGTTTATGGAGTCGACTATTTTCTTTAACCTTAACAGTTAGTATAATAGTATATATTTTCGAAGCCCTGTCTGCCAAATAGAATTACTCTAAGTAAACTTTATTCCTTTGCCAGAAGAAAATTACACAGAAGACCTTCTAATGAAAGAAACTTTTCAATTTATTTAAGTAAGAAATGTCTTTGGTAATTAGTTTAACTTTGGTCCACATGTCTAAATAGGTCATGGTGGTTTTCCAGAACTTATATGTACTTCTGAAAAAACACGTTATATTAATTATAAAAAGAAAAGAAAGGATTTACTGTAGGGAGTACAGTTAAATTCAATTTTTTAATTGGCAAAGTGTCACAGGTACAATCTCAGGGCTTGTTTCTGTTTTACAAGATCTCAAACAGCTGCTCTTTGATGTAAACTGGCGTTCAAATGGTCTGTTTATGGTATGCAAAGAGTACCTTATAAAGAACTCTCTGGGTTTTTAGGTAAGATAAGTAATAGAAAATAATTAGTAACAATTGAACATTTAGCAATTTTGACTAACGAATAAAATCCAAGGTGAGTTTCCTCCTCCTGCCTCTGGGTGGCACTCTTGTCTGCATGACTCAGCCTTCTGGTTTGTTGGCCGCCCCTCAGCTATAAACCTGCTGAGAGATGGAAGACCGTTTTTTGCACATTACTGAGTGTGTGGCATGGTCATTTTACAAAGCACTTTTCCTAAATCTAAGAATATCAAAATTATATCAGGAATGACCAATAAAGTACTGAATTTAAATAAGCTCTAGCATGCTTTATAAACATCTTTTAAGGCAAATAGCTGTCTATAGTAATTGAGGACTCCTTTTTTCTTTAAATTAAAAACTATAGCCTTGAGTATTTGTAAAATAGATATCTCACAAATTTCCCTGTGTTTTCAAACAATCATGTACATTTGTGGTTTCATCTAATGCAGTGGTTCTCAACCTTCCTAATGCTGTGACCCTTTAATACAGTTCCTCATGTTGTGGTGTTGCTACTTCATAACTGTAATTTTGCTACTGTTACGAATCATAATGTTAATATCTGATGTACAGGAGACCCCCAAAGGGGTTGCGACCCACAGGTTGAGAACCGCTGATCTAATGTGATAGCAAATTCATTATATAAGCCAGTAGAGTCATTTTTATCCTTACCAAACAGCCAGAATTCAAAACATGATGCATTCAAAAACAGCTATTTTTATTGTTGTTTTAGTCACTTTTAGCTATCCTAATAACTTAGTAATTTAATAGCTAACACAGTGACCTTATCAAATAGAATTTCCCCACAGTACATACATAGTATGGATTTGTGGTTTATAATTGTGATTGAAAACAGGCTTTGAAATAACTCCTTTTTTTTTCTTGGCAATGATTGATTTTTAAAAACAAATTGATCCTGTTTTAATGATTTAGAAAATAACTAAGCTATAAACAATTTTAAATTATAAATTATGAAGAAAATTTTGGGTGACATGTAGCACTGCCCAGCCCACCTGCGACGGGTCTGCCCACTGTCCCTTTGTGCTTGCTGGGTGCTGTCTGGGGCGTTCGCTTCCCCAGTACCCACAGTGCTACCGTCTGTGCTGGGCTCTGATGATCTGATGACGTAGTCCCAGGGATTATTCTCTGCACCTCAGCTAGATAAATATCCTGGCCTGTTTTATAAATAACAAAGGTTGAAAAAAGTCCTAGAACGTTTGCCCAACGCCATGCGTTAAGAAGACTGTTAGAATTCACATGCAGGCTTGGCTTACGCCACCAGCTGTGTCTTCACTGATTCCAAGCTGGCATATTGGTCCAACAGCCCTTGGTTTATTTGACCTGGGGTCTGCCCTTGGTCACACCCCACTCCAGACTGCCCGACTCGAGTCCCCTGCCTCCGCCTGCAGACGCCTTTCCTCCGCTGCCTTCCCGGCTCTTCATCATCCTGGAGGCTCTTTTTTAAGGCTGTGCCTTCTTGGTCCTAGTTCCTTCTAATGCTTTAGCTGCTTTTTCACCTCAGTCTTTCCCCCCAAATTTTGACATAAAAGGAGCTATGATTTGGATTTATTAAAAACAGTTCCTATTAGATTCATGATTATTTAAAACAGATGGAAAGATCAATATGTGTGAAATGGAAGCGGACATTTGAGGAAAGGAATTTTATTTTCATGTTTGTAAGAGCATATATCAAAGACTGGAAAGTTTTCTTTGCTTGAAACAAACTGTTTCTTAACAATGACTTACAGATTTAATGTCTTAATGTAATTTGTCTGTTGTACATCAAAGTTCAATTCTCTTTTAAATGCAAAGCTTACATTAATGCAAATTATTGTTGTAAATTTGCATAGAGAAATTTGGGGAAATGTGTATCATTGTCATTTTCATCCATACCCTCCTGTTTTGTAACACATGAAAAAAGCCTCTCTCAGGTGGGGTAGTGTTTTTCTGCCCTGAGGTAACTAGCCACAAATTTGAACCCTAACAGCACAAAGTTGCCATATGATAAAATACAGTGTGACAAGACATAGCTCTTAAGAGCATGGGCTCAGGTCAACCTGTCTGACTTGAAGAACAGGAGAACAGCAACTCTGTGAGTAGCTTCATGTTTTTATTTTTCTGATAAGGTGTTGATCTTTTTTTTTTTTTTTAAGACAGAGTCTCAAACTGTTGCCCTGGGTAGAGTGCCGTGGCATCACAGCTCACAGCAACCTCAAACTCTTGGGCTTAAGAGATTCTCTTCCCTAGCCTCCCAAGTAGCTGGGACTACAGGTGCCTGCCAGAACGCCCAGCTATTTTTTGGTTGTAGCTGTCGTTATTGTTTGGCAGGCCTAGGCTGGATTCAAACCTACCAGCTCTGGTGTATGTGGCTGGCGCCCT